ATCAACCTGTTTATGATTATTTTTAGTAATGAACCTTTGTGATTTAACAAAAAAAAATACAAATAAAACTAAAACATATAATGTGTGGTGTAACATTTCAAGTAAAGCATTAGAAAAAAAAAATATATGAATTTTAGTGGTTATCCGACGATTACCTGAATCAGAACTAGACATTACCATCCAACCTCTCTTTTCAAAATGGCGTCCGAAAAACCTGTGTCGTCATTGGATATAGTGCCAAAACTGCTGTACCTTTGTTGATGAAACTTGCCTTAAGTCTTCCTTTAGAAGCTCTTTAAATTTATGGATATGACATGCTTACCCATAAAGAAGCTGGGAAACATTTTATGATGAATTCAACATTTTATCTGCGAATGACAAGAAAATAAGAAAAATTATTATTATTATTATACAAGAAAGTGAACGAAAATGATTAAAAAAAAAAAAAAGAAACACGGTAGAAATGCCACCATTTTGGTGCAGAGATAAAGTGTTCAGTATAGCACAAGTTCTACTACAAACTCGATATTTTTTTTGTATTTTTTTTTTTTTTGTTATTACTAGAAAATTTCTAATCAACCGACGCAAACCATTTATTGTCTATATTTGTTAACTATAAATGAAAGGTTGGCAATCCTGCAATTATCGGCCTAATATCACTTCTCTACCTGCCTAAGCAGTAAGAAACATAGTGTGATATGCGACATGTATTCGATACATAACTATTTAGAAATAACAAACCATTGTGTAATAATTTTCACCGTTTTTATTTTTCCTTATAATATTAATTATCTTATGAAAGCTGCATCATATCACCATTTCGTATTTCTCTTTCTCTATATTATACGTAACGTTAATGTATCGTTGGTACTTACGGAGAATGGGGTCTCTCAATCATATATATCAAACGGATTAAGGGGTTCCGAAAATTTACAAGTGTAGCTGAAAGTGTATCTCTCAAAGCTTCTTTGCTCATATTCATTTTTTAAATTTATTACATTTTGTTGATATTCGTTTTATTTATTTACTATTTTACCTTATATTTCACTTCAATCCTAATGATTTTAAAAATACACTTTCATGCTACTAATTACCTTCGCCTCCTTTTATTTGATTTCTAATTGTTGGTAGATCTTTAAACAAATAATTATTTCGATATCTTGAATTTGATTAGGAGAAATGGTCACAGCTGTGAGCCAAAAGAAAATAGACAAAAATTACGAAGCGACTGATGTGGAATATGCAATATGTTTTAAACAATTAGGAATAGCAAGGACGTTTTTTTCTCGTTTATCCTCTACTTCGCCATTTCCTACATACGGGAAGGAGATTGTCCTACAGGTACAACCGAATCTGTTCTAACCAGAGTGGAGTGGTCGAGATTCATTTCGTGTGTGAAAACTAATTCACTAACTAGTTTATTTGCAGTATTGAATATTGAACAAAGATGATTTATTCCGGCATCTAAGTTGGGCCAGAGTAAACATTCCCTCAAGGAACTCTTGTGATTGGCATGTTTTTTCTTTGCTTCTCCAAGAAAACTTACCTTCTAATGCTTTTAACAGGTATCCTGTTTATTTGTCTATATCTGTACGGTTTATAAAGGTACACTCCACATTCTGACGATATCCTGTTACCCCTTTCTTATTCTAAATTTATGAGAAACTATTTCATTGAGAAAACATAAGTCGAATTTTTAGTAAGTTAATTTTTTTTTCCACTCCCTCACATGTCTCTTCTAGCATAGTAGGTGGTTAACCTACAATTCCACACACAATTTTATTCAACAGAAGTTGATGTTAGCAGGTTTGACGACACGATGTCACCGTCCGGCTGGTACATAGAACTGACCATGTTCCTCAGCCATGCCTGTCAACATTATAAACAATTTGCAGCTATCCCGGATGGTTCCCATGTAGTGCCCTCAAAATTATTTAGTATATTATCTGACATAGCGGTAGATGCCCTAATATCTACGACATATAGAACATAAACACATATAGATTTATCTATAAAACGATAAAAAATATAATTTAAAATAAATCTGGAATTTTATCTAGTCTGGGACACAGGAAGGCTTTACAAAATCCATCAAAACCTATTCTCTACAAACTTTCTCATTTTCCTTTCATGTCCCTCAGACAGATCATTCAAATTAAACCACGATGGTGTCTATTTATCACTCTTTTCTCAGTTCGCTGGTGTTCCTCAAGGTACTATCATCGGTCCTCTCCTCTATACTGTTTATACAACTAACATTCCAACTCCTAACACTATCATTACCACATATGCGGATTACACAAGTGTGGTATCAGTTAATAATGACTCATTTATAGCTTCCAAAACTCTTCAGTTTCATATCACAAATCTTGAAGAATGATATTGAAATTGGAGGATTAAAATAAATTCAATCGAATCACCTTTACATTTCGTCGTGAACCTATGACTTCCTGTCGTATAGTATCTGTTAATAATATTTAACTTATCTCTGTTGATCTGATCTACTAAGACTGCATCTGGGCAAACATCTTACTTGGAATCCTCATAGACAAGAAACTGCTTGTTGACATTTCCGTTTCTACTCTTATAGACAAGCGCTCTAAAGTTCCAATTAACTACAAGAGACTCATTTACTTAACCTCAATGCTTCATACTTTGTCTCAAATATCTAATTGTCACTAATAAACTTAATTTTCCACATGTTACCGGTTTAGGCCAGTCCAGATACATATACTTCCATGATAAACTTCAGATCCATCCAAACCTTTTAGCTTCTAACGTTGTATAACGTTATATAGTTGGAGTATTATTTGAGTTCTACCAATGGGTAATTTCTCTTGAAGTCAACCCATGTCATTATACGTATTCAAATGTATGTATCTGCACTACATATAATACGACAGGATTCATTTCCCGGCTCTCAGGAGCAATGGGTTTTGTGAATGAGTAGACAACGAAAAAGAATTTGGAGGAGTGACGAATCCCAATTTTATTCCTTCAACAACTTTAATAAAAGTCATTAAACAAATTGCGATTTTTCAAAACTCAGATTGTTTCAATGTCAACGAATCGAGACGGGATAAATTGTGCTATAAAAATTTTAACGCGTTCATAAAGACATGGTATAGTTAAAAAAGAAATATTGGGCACTACATTGTAATCCTAAAATATCCGGTTTTCGAGACAAATATTAATTCTTGCGAAAGCCTCATATGTGCCATGGGATATTTATTACATGTTTAGGTTTTAAAAATTTTAATATTACTTTTTATGCCAGTCTTTGACGAACTAAAAATCTATTGGCAAGGTAGATGGAGGAGAATAATTCGTTAGATCCCTCTGCCACTTCGTATAATATAGAAAACGAGTTTTTAATATAATTATTTAATAACAAAAGGGCTTCTGAACTCTGAGTAATGGACTTATAAACTCATAAGTGAGAGAGAGAACTATAAACTATATACGTATTAGGAGAACTTCAGAGACAGTTGTGTTTTATTGCTTGAATATTAAAGTGGGAGATATTTTCCAATGATACAAGCTAATCTCTTATAAAGTAAATTGTTACTGTAAACATGGTGCTAAATGCAAGTAAATATAAGGTGATGCATATTGGGCGAGGGGAAGGTAACGTACTTGTTCACTGCAGGGAGGGAAACATTAGAAATGGCTGAGGAATACAGATACCTTTTGACAGTGATAAGCAGAAATGCAAAGATGGACCAAGAGCTCACTTTTAGAATTAAGAAAGCAAATAGTGTCTATTACCATCTATGCAATATTGTAGTTGGGAAAAGGGAGGTGAAGAATAATGTAAAATGTTATACTTTTAAGGCACTGTATTTTGCTACCCTTCTCTACGGAATTGAAAGCTGGGTACCACTGGAGTAGAATTCAAGCTGCGGAGATGAAGCGCCTCCCAATAATGGCCGGCCGAACATGAAGAGATCAGGTACGAAATGAACGAAATCGACACGACCTTGGAGTTTCAGCTGTGAAACATACAATTGAAAAGAGACAGCTGGTTCGGACATTCGTGTTGAATGCATGAAGACCGAAAGCCAATGAAGTTCTTCGAAGTCAGGCCATTTGGATGACATGGTTAGACCACATCGACAGGAACAGAAGAGAGTGAGAGGGTTATATGCCATAAAGGCGCTGGCTTGGGGTCGTGATGCCTGGATAACATGGATTGAGGCACCTCCACGCTGAAAGGCTCAAAGGAGAAAGATAAAGATAAAGTGAAGTTACTTCAAATTTTATATGTTGAATAGACTATCTTGATAACATCATCTCGTATGTACCAATAAACAGGTATGCTTCCAAAAGGATAGATTTGTTAAAAAAAAATTAACTACTTTTAGTTGTAATTTGATCTTAAAGCAGTGACATTAATGTGACCGAAATTTTAAAATGACCAACATACTAATTTTTTTTTTTTTAATGAAATTTACAACTGTATTACATGGAAAATACAACAAGTAAATGTGACATTGATAACATGAAATGTGCAACATTAAGAGAAACTACCCATTGGTAGAACTCAAATTAAAGTTCTATATTAGAAGGTCCCGAGGCCATCTTCTTTTCAGACGCCTCGGAGGGTAATCAGGGATCGAGGAGGAAGCAAGGTTTGAAACGAGAGGGTTCGGATGGTTCTGCAGCTTGCTATGAAAGGATAGGTATCTGGGTCAAATCGGAAACATGGGACATTAAGGTATATACTAATTAATATGATTCGATGATGTAACTTATACGTCAAATGCGTTAGCTAGAGGAAACGTTCTAATGTGGGATTTATAGCTGAGTTATAGTAGTTTTTAGTTAATTCAGTTGTAAATTTCAATAAATATATTTTATTTTAAATGAATGTTTTAAAACGCAGTTCCCTTGCTACGTCATTCGCCAGTTTCACCCCTGGAACCGGAAACTGCAACCACCATTAAGGTGCTATAACCGACCACCAATTAGCAGACAGTGATGATCTTCCACTTCCACCGATGAACTCAACTGCGGGGAGGAGTTGGAACAAGGCGCTATTTACGAGGCAGGATGCGATAATTATGTGCTCGCCTTGGCGCCCGGGCCTCTGGCGTCACGAAATTAAATATCGCGAATGTTGGAGCGACGCCAAACTGTCAGCGGAGGTCCTGCCACTTGTCATCCCGATTGACACAACCTCCAATAATAGAGCCGCTTCGTGACGCCGCCTAGGTACCTGCTACGTCACCGGGGAAGTTAGTACACGTCCACCTCTGTCAGGTGACCTATGTCTTGCTGGTCAATTTTACAGGTAACATGTCTGCAATGCAAGTTCTAAAAGCTTTCAAGTGTGACCGTGATGGCCGAGGATGTTACGGCGTTACATATTAACCATTGCAACCTCGATTCAAGTGGCTCCGCTCAGTTGGCTGTTTAAGCTATCTTGCAAGAAAAAAATCAAAACAAACATTTACATAAAAAGTTACGAAATATTTACAATTGATAAAGAGTTATAATTGTATAATTTATTTTATTATCTCCTTATTCTATTAAACAAATTTTTAAAAAAAGTTGAAATTGTATTAAAACTACAAGATGTTTTTATTGACACTTCCAATATCTAAAAAATTAATAAAACAGATTAAATTATTATAAATATGTAAAGTAATTTAATTTATTATGACATTTTACATAAAAATAAATCAGTCATTTTCATCACATTCAGAATTGATGTTATTTGTATTTAAACGTTGTTGAATATAACTGAATAGCACAATTTTTATTTTATTGCTTAGCCAGGTTCAATGAAAAATAGCTCCTGGAGTAGCCAATCTATCTTACTCCTTGACACCTTAAGATGAACCAAAATCTGAAAACTCCTTTGGAGGCCAGCCTGAACTTAAGAACAGACAAATCAAATGTTGAAATTTCTATTAATGCCCTTCTATCCAATTTAAATATTTGGCCCCTAAGCGGTGTCATTATTACACACTTGGTCAGTCCTCTGTTCACCGGTTAGAATCCAGTCTGAGTGGGGAGGAGTAAAAATTTATTATTGTTTGACCTTACACTGAATTGATTAGTGATGACTGTAGAAAAACACTTCCACTCTCCTCATCGCATGCCTGAAATGGTCAGAGGTAGGGATTAAAAAAAGAATCTTTAAAATAGCTAAAAAATCTGTAGCAATGAATAAGTTACAGATAATTCGGTTATCAACCATTGGACTAATAAAATAAACCTCTACAAATAAATCCCCTATGTCTTCTTAGGTTCAATAATTTATAAGAGAGCACTGTTTCAAAAGTAGTGGTTGCAGAGACAGGTGATCAAGCCAGGATCAAGCATAACCGGTCGTCTTAGCGTGCCTCTGAAGGGTTCCTCATCCTAGGTTAGATTCACGGCTGATAAATAACTACTGAATAAATTTTTATAGACTCGAACATGGGACCTTGACCATAGTGCCTTATTCACTGAATTACCCCACACCAAGAAAAGTCCGTAACTACGTATAAATTACTTTTAATAGAATTTAATTAGAATTTAACCGTATCGTAATTTATTTATTCTCCAGTACACATGCAAAGTAATGACTAAAAAAAAAAAAAGCTAAAGTGACAGTTTACGCCAATCTTTATGATTAGCTTGTTGTACTAATAATACCAATTGATCCTTATTGTATTAAGTGGCCAACTAAATGTTCCTAATCCTTATTTTTACGTTTACATGAAAATAATATAAGCATTTGGCGGATTTCTTTTTTTTTGAAAATTTAATACAAATCTTAAATTTCCCATTTTTCTTTGAGGAATCGGACCAAGGGTTTGTTAGCCCTTATGATCTACTATTGCCTCTTTAATTATTTCCCTAGCCTTACAGGACACTCTTTATATAGATCTATAAGAGATATTCAATAAAATAGTCGCTTATTCCATTGTGAACTCTCCTATTTTTTGGGGGGGATGGGAGATGAAGTTAAATACCGATTCCTATTTTTAAAAGTATCCAATGAATCCAATGGCATAATTTTTTTTTTCAGAAACGAAACTAAATATTTTAAAAAAAATAGTATGAAAATAAATTTATATCCAAATGCAGAATCTAAATTTTTTTTACCTTTATAGTCGAACAAAATATACAAATCAAAAAGTTAAATTTTTATAGTATACTTTTAAGTATGACTTTTTTTCCACGAATCGTGTACCAATTTTTTGTCTCCATCCCCAACCTCAATGAACCTTTTTATCTACCGAAAGGGGCCGTTTGAGTTTATTTATTTCCAAAAACTCTGCTATGTAAGTTTCAATATTTATTAATGGCTATTAAAATATTTGCTGTAATATGTGCCAGAAATAAAGATTTTTTAAAATTATTTATTTATCGCGATAAAGGCCAACGATGGACAACCCGCATATCACTTCTAGTTCTTTTTATTTTTCCTTTCCTTAAATTATATATATATAAATATATTGTTTTTGATAATACAATTGGAGAAGAAAATATAATTATTATATTTTATAAATAAAAATTCTGTTTAACTAGAACTTTTATTGTCTCCATACTATAACCATTCTGCTTCCACCAGCCATTTTCACACATTCCAAAAAAAAGAAGCTTTAATAAAAAAATTAATTAAATTTTTTTTAGTGTACTACTCTGTTGTAGTAGATTCGGACTTTAGAATTTAAGCTAGAATGTAGTAAGGGATAAGAGTCTATTTTATGAAAAATAATAAAAAGCTGAAAATAAATATAAGATAATGAATCTTATAAAATATGAAATAAATAAAGATATGGAAATCTGATGAAAAAAAAAGCTGAAGTAATCTCACCAAAAATCCTCCTCCATCTCTGCCCATCTTGGGCTATTTTTTTTTTTTTTTTTTCAAATTATCTGCATGCATCTTTGTTGATTCAATCAATCTGTCTGCTTTTTTTCGTGATATTTCTACTATTGAGACATTCATTGTCGTGTATAGGTTTCCTAATACATGCCCATCTTAACCTCTTTGCCTTCATATCATGACATATTGATTGACCAATTCCTGCAAGTAGCTCTTTATTGGTCTTTATCCAACACGTGTTAGTAATTTGATCTCAGATCTGTCGTAAGTAATAAGAATATTAAAACAACTAAATTTTATAATTTTCGTTAAACAATTAATACCTTAAAGTAATGTACTAGAAACGTTTGTCAATTAACTATTGTTGTTTTTTGTTTCGAATATTTTAAAATGGATTTTAAGACCGAAACGTTATGATATAGAGAAAATAGATTTTTTTTAAAAATATTTTTGTTATTGAAATAACATTTGTGCGATTACTGATTTTTTTTTCGAAAAAAATTCTTATATTGATTAAATATAATAATTGTATTAAGATTCCACAATAAAAATAAGGTTTTTTATCATAAATTGAAAATATAGAGTAACGATCCATCAATTACCGATTTTTAAAACCTTTTGAACTTCTCTTAACTCCCTTAAAATGCTTACGTTGTATGCAGTAAAAGGGATTCGATCCGATAAAATTAAAATTGTAAAAATTTCAATAACTCATCTTAAAATTAAAAAAATATTTTCTCACGTTTCTTGAAAATTTGTCAATGATGATTAGTATTGTATTTGAAGATAAATGACTTAAATTTGCTGACAAAAAGGTTTTATGCTGGTAGCCATTTCATGTTTATTATGTTATTATTATTTTATTTTTATATATAGTAATGATGTAAGGTCACAAACGACAGAGACACAGGTGCTAGCGATCCTCAGACAGATATAGCCTTTCCCATTCACCTGTGACAGAAGCGTTCTGAAATAATGGGCGTTAGGAAAGGGCCGGGAATAGATAGAGTGGATCTGGTAAGCCCGGTGACCAAACCGCGGTACACCTTGCCAACCTCCCTTCGGGCTTTTTGCTGCATCACTCCTATCTTTGTATCAGCGGGGAGTAGAAGAGGAAGGGGGGGAGGGGTTTCCAAATCTGTACTCCGTAACGGGGATGGGGATGTCCTCAGGTACTCAATCAGGTTATTATGAAGTACAGTAGAACCACGCTAGCTTAATATTATCAATGTCATTCACTTCTTCAAGTTATTTTAAATTAAGGAATTATCCACTATGACAAGTTTCTCCCAATTCGTGGCTGAGCACATCTATTGCATCGGAAATTTGTCGGTCCGTTTCTAAATTAATCAATGATTTAGAGCTTATATCTGCCATTGGGATCGATGGATCTCTTGGATGTAACCTTATTACTCGACTAAGCGAAGCGAAACGAGAGTTATGTTTTTGTGTCGTCTGCTAACAGCTATGTAACGCATTTTCGAACGAACCATTGGATCGTTTTTTAAGTTTGATGGCTCAAATTATTTGGTGAGATCACCTGAGTATTTTGAAACAATTTGAGCTAAAATTACTGGCCCGTTAGTAAATAAAATGTAATTTATTAATTTGTAAAAAGCCTTTTAACGCTGTTTTGAGCTCAAAATACTCAAGCAAATACTATTTTGTTTAAATATCTCCATTATTAATTGATTTGTAATTATATCATGTGATCATATGTTATGAAAATGAATTATTAATATTTCAAAACTAAAAATATTTTTAATTAAAAAAAAAACTACAGAAATTGAGAAATTTTATCCACCCCGAGGAAATTAACATTAATATCTTCTAAAAAATCTTAGTAGATTGATAGGTGTATTGAATAGGTATACATCTACGAATATTTGAACTTGATGTACTAGTTGGTTTCCTATCACACCTCAAGACTCTTTTGGATCTTTACTTGTACCGATACATGTTTGCAGTGGTATTGCACATGGGATCTGCGCATGCCACGGCCGCCGATACTCATACTCGTTATATACTTAAATATATAGGTATATTGTAGGATAGGTTTATATATATCGATTATAAACCTAATCGATTAGGAACAACAAAAACAGGGATTCTGTGGTGTAGTCCAGTACGCAGCTGCGCACCTTCTGATGGTGCTGCACCTTTTACTTCTTTTTTATTTATTTTAATTTTGTTTATTCATATATTTTCTTTTTTTTTTTCTTTACTCCTTTGGGTCCGTTCGCTTTTGGAGTGCCAGTTCTTCCTCTTCCTCTGCTGAGCGCTTTCTCCTCAAGTTGAAGGGCGTAGGGCCCACCACTGCCTTCCACTTCCTCACGTACTCCGCGCAGTGAGGGTAGTTATCCTCCGATACATGGGCCG